TCCATGGAGGACCATGTAAGATGGATGCTTGCATAGTTATGATTCCCTTACAGAAGACAAAGGGACAAATTAGAAAACATGAACTTTAATGGTAATTGGAAAGAAAAGGATAGAGCATTTGCATAATTGAAAGTTGATCTTTATTATTTGAGAGGCTGGGGGTCTTGCAAGTATGACCAGTGGACCCATGGGCTCAAGTCCAAGGCTATTGGCCTCCCTGTGCAAGCAACCATTTTAGGTGAGGTAGGTAGGTAATGAAATGCAGGATGTTATACATGACCTTGCTTTTATCATGATAAACTCTACCTATTCATCACTTGAATGTCCAGTGTGTTTTTTAACACTTGCATTCCCCTTTCTTGTTAGTTCCCTAGTAGAAGTGCTAGGCGTAAAAAGGCCAAGAGGCAATGGTTAAAGGAACAACTCAAAGCTGAAAAGAAAGAGGTATATTGGTGCTCGTTAGGTTTTCAACCCTGTTATTGTGATTGTATTTATGCGGTATACCTGTGTTCGTGTTTGGGCTTGGCTCAAGTGCTGATGGGTACAGTCTTTGAGTAGGTTTTAGCTTAAGAGTTTCACACATGTGCATGCACCTGCACAACACACACCCACATCCATATCGGCGCTGTTGGTGGGAAAATTAGTCACGTTCTACACTTTTTGTTTATTATTTTGAATTTTACAGCAAAATCAGATGCAGTTATTTTCAAAAATCAATCAGCAATCGTCTAAAAGGGATAATCAGAATGTTGCTGAGAAATCACCTGAATCAGGAAGTCACAAACTTTCTGAAGAAAAACTCAGGGAAGACAATCAATTGGGAGAGCAAGATAGTGATGTAGAAGGTGATGTTGTTCCCATAGTGATAAGGCCGGGACATATTCGCTTTGAGCCACTCAAGAAAGGTCTGATTCTACATTTTTATCTTACAGCTGTTCCAAGTGATTAACAATTTTGTGCACTGTAAATACTCCATTCAATCATGTGATGTGCCTACATGTTTGTTGTTACAGGGGGTGATGATCAGGCTGTGCTGCAAAATCACATTACTGCTGTATGTTTCATTTATCCAATTAATTTTTCAATGCATTTCTCTGTGTTATGTTTGAATAATCAATACCTTGAAGATAGATATGTTCCAAAGCATTTGTTTTACCCATTTAAGTTTCATAGTCAAACTTACAAACCATTTCTGCAGAGCATTTTAAGCTCTCCCCCATATTCACTTTTGTAAGTATTAAGCTGTTTGTGCTCAAACATCTCTATAATCTTGGTTTTTTGGCTCACATACTCTACAAGTATGTACACTTAATAAGGGTGAATATAGGGGATCGTTAAATATTCTGCAGAATGGTTTATTATAAATATTCTGGATGTGCTTTGAAATAGGATTTATATGCATAGATGTTTTTATAAAATAATCAACAGGTTCTGACTTCTGTGGTTTCAAAAATTTTACAATATGCATACATGCTCCTTGTAAACTAATGCTTGTTCTTAGCTTCAATTGTTGTTAAATTTATGTTCTCATGTTCTGCTTCAGGAAACATTTCACTGGAATGGGATAACAAGCAAAAAGAAGGGTCAAAAGTGGGGTAAAGAGAAAGCAGTGTCATGTAAAAGAAATGATTATAACAATTTCAGGAAAGAGTCTTCCAGCAGTCTTTCTATTGAAGAACAGACACCTATATATGATTGTACCAACTTTGAAGAGCTTCCACTCTATGCTAGCTTGCCAAAGGTTTTTTTCTTTTAAAACTTCATTGCAATTGTTGTGTTGATATCGATGACGTACTGTTTTAGAAAAACATGACAGTGGCAACTGGCTTTCTATGGTCATAGCAACTGCTAGTTTACAAAAATTTTGAGACCTACTCTGGGTCAGTTAGTTGATCTCTTAAATTCTTTTCTGTCTTTATAGTGTCGTTGTATTCATGAGCATGGTCCACATTTGTTTCTTGTTTGGAGGCTAAAGCATCTATTTGTTCTTGAAATTTTGTAGGAAGGTGATGTAATTGCTTATCGTGTAGTTGAGCTGTCATCATCCTGGACCCCTGAGCTCTCATCCTACCGTGTAGGCTTCTTTTTCAATAAAACTGATGTTCAACTTATTATTTACTGGCAAAGCATGAGTTATCTTGTTCTCTCTGTGCACAGGTTGGAAAGATATCAAAATACGATCTTGAATCCAATATAGTTATACTGGTCCAAGTACCAGGATATCCAGTAGTTCCTGAGAAGACAGATGATGAGGCATCTGCTGCACTACCAGAAACATCCCCTTATGGGGAAGATGGATCTTTAGAGGTATATTAGCTTCACATTTCTTATATATGAATATTTTCTTTTTGCTTTTGGTTTGGGGGTGGGGCAGTGTTGGTGATGAGGCATCTCTGTATGTGTGTGCGTCTCTCACATGGAGGGGTCATAGTGTAGTGAATGCAGATATATTTGTATTTAACCTTCGCAAAATTTGGATGCGCCTCCCAAAACTTGAGGAATCTGACTAAATTGATTGGGGTATTCTTTTTTAGTTTTGAACTGCTCAAATGAATTTGATTAGGTTTTGCATCTGCATCTTCTATGTTCAGGTTATTAGATCAAGGCTTGGACATAATTGCGCTCAAGTTTGTATTTGTCTGAATTATAGATTTAGTACCCTTAGGCCAATCTTTTCTTGTTTGTCTTTCTCAATTAAGAAGGTTGACAAGTAAAGCTCTTCTACAGATAAAGTTTTCAACACTTCATGAGGTTCGCCTTGTCCGCCATGGTAATCTAGAGTCAGCAAAATCCGTTGCTAGTGGATCTGATGAAGTCCATGTCAGGGATCAAGATTCCGGAACAGGTTTTAGTCCCAACAATAACCATGAAGCTAATACTTCCACTCAAGGTATTAATTCCAAGTTTCCAACTATTTTTACACCAAGGATCAGGCTAATGGTTGATTGCAAATAGCAATGATAGCAGTATGTTAAATTTAAACAAGCTCACTTGATTTTTCTGTGCTTCAGAAAATGGAAAACGTAATCCATGGGAAGAAATTAACCAGGCTTTGACAGCAAAGAAGGAACTGCTGTCTCAGGAGGATGGTTGGAAAAAAACTGAGAGTTCAAGCAGGAGCCCATGGTCGTATAAGGCCTTGAGAGGCAGCTCCCTGGGTCGAACAATTGCTTTATTAAGAGCACAAAACGAAATATGATGAGCACGAGATGAATGGAATATGAAGAGCTTAAAACGAATTGAGTAGCATGAACTGTGCATTTGCCATCCACTTAATTTTGCAACCTCAAGGTGGGTGAGCATTTCACTTATGATGCCAAGTTTTGCTTTCGGGATGCAATGAAAACATGTAATGCAAAGGGATATTTATGGCTGAGATTTTATGTATAATTCCCTTCTGTCAATTATCTCCTTCATGCAGTGTGAGATCTTCAATCAATCACAACATTCTCAGTGGAGGAATGTGATTTGTTGTTGAACTAGAAAAGCATGAAAGTCATAACCTTTGTTTATCACCATAGGTGCTTACTCTGAAATTGCTATTTTTTCTGTTATGGGAGGCAAATGAAAGACCCATCTCGGTATCTGGTGTTTGCTTTTTCCTAATATCACAAGGAAAATCTCGAGGTTAGGGATGGCAATAGGCGTTTTGCATTGCATGCTCCGCAGGTGGTGGCGGAGGCTGTCGGGGTGCATGATTTTGCTTTACAATTTTTTTGAGTTTTGTCCTGATATGCGTTCTAGTTCTAAATTTTTTCCTTCTACGCTCGCAAAAATTACAGTGGAAAAGTTGGATTAATTTTCGAGGAGAGGTCAGCCAATTTTTGTCTCTGTTCTTCATTTTGAGGAAGAAAATGCATGGTGCAAGGCTTTCTTGACATTTTTTCTACTAAATTGTTTCTCTGTGAATTTTGAATTACTTTAATTAATTTATAAAGTAATATCTGTTTTTATTTTATGAAGTTTTTTATTTTAATTTTCATATGCAATTTTATGAGAATTAGAAGTATAGAATTTTGACAAATTGCAATTAATTTAAAGAAATTGGATTTGATGGCATGATGCTTAACATAACAAATACTATAATTTAACAAATATTTTATATAAAGAAATAATCCATTAAAAAATAAAAATAAATCTGTTTCTTTAGAAAACAAGTAATGCCCTGGATTGAAAAGATAGAATTTGTTTGGAGTGGGAAATACTTGATACATGGTATCCTAATTAATCCCTTTAAGCATTAGAGTTTTGAAAAGGAAGAAATAAAAAAAAAAATACTGAGAAACAAACCAGAACAGTATGGCAGCTCTTTTATTACATCTAGGGCAGATCAACCTAGAATTTGGGAAGTTGATCGAATTAAAATCTATGATTTTTTGTTTAAATAACTTTGTTTTGGTTTCTTAATAAAAAAATCTATTAACTCGAGTTAATTTATTTAATATATAATTAATAAAACTCTAAAAGACATGATATTTCACTTTAATAATACATAATGAAATATTCATTTTACACTCTCAAAACACAACAAAACAACTTGTAATTTTTACAAGGGCTCATAAGTCATCACAAAATTAAAAAAGATAATTAAGTAATTTTATATTTTAAATGCACAATAAAATAATTATTCTATCATTAGATTCAAAATTCTTTAGCACTAATGTCCATCGTGTTTCATATCTTCAATTCTTTAAGAATAATAAGATGATTTAAATGACAGTGGGATTTTATTTAGCTTACGTGCAAGTGCAAGGGTATTTTTATATTTCTATTTATGTTTGAAAAATTAAATATCAACTTAATTAATTAAATAAGTATATAAAATTCTTTTTATGATTGAGGAATTATTTACATTAAAAAACACATATATTTTTAACAATAATAAAAATTATTCGAATTGTGGTGAAATTCGGTCAAATAACTAGTTAGATAATCTAATATTTAATTAGATATGGGATCAGGTTTAACCCTGGTTGGGTTTAATAACTATGCGCGGATGCGGCTCAGCCTAAATAAAGAAAAAGAGAAAACAAATGTGTCTCCGGCTTCCTCGTTCGCCTCGCCGCTCTCTCGGTCTCAGCTGTCTTGTCTCTCTCCTTCTTATTTCTCCATAGCCGAAACCAGCTAGGGCTCAGATAAAAGAAGCTACTATTTCTACAGCTTCTCTTTAGTTCTCTCCATAGAAAAAATTTACTTCATCTTTCCATTTCTATCTGATGATGATTCCGTGTCTACACTCTCTCTTATAACATTGACAAAGCCCATGAGCTCCCATTCAATCGATTAATATGCATATCTCTCTGACATGTATCAACCTTTGGGCGTACACCGCCTCATATACCGTACTCGCATTGCCAGCTTTGTTAAAGCTGGTCTCATCGATTATGCAGTCAAGGTGTTCGATGAAATGACTTTGTCAGAATGTCGTGTTTTTGGCATCGATTATAACCGATTCATCGGCGTTTTGATTCGCCACTCTCGCTTCGATTTAGCCCATCACTACTATTCTAAAATGGCCCCTCTTGGGTTCTCCTTGTCTTCCTTTACTTACTCTCGTTTCATTTCAGGTTTATGCCAGACAAATGAGTTTACCTTTATTGATAATTTGTTAAAAGACATGGAGAAACTTCATTGCGTTCCTGATATTTGGGCTTTTAATATCTATTTGAATCTTTTGTTTCGCGAGAATAGGGAAGAGTCAGCATTGGAGGTTTTTAGGAGAATGGTTGAGAGAGGGAGAGAGCCTGATGTAGTGACATTTACTATTATTATTGATGGTTTGTGTAAAATGAAGAAATTTGATGTTGCCGTTCAGTTTTGGCTTAATATGTTAGATAAAGGGATTAAGCCGGATAACAAGGCTTGTGTGGCGCTTGCTGTTGGCTTGTGTGATGGGGGGCAAGTGGATTTAGCTTATGAGCTTATAATTGGTGTAATTAGTGGTGGTCTGTCAGAGGTTAGTACATTGGTTTATAATGCATTGATTAGCGGGTTTTGTAGAGCAGGTAGGATTGATAAGGCGTTGGCTATGGTGTCTTTTATGAGTAGGACTGGGTGCAAGCCGGATTTGGTTACATACAATGTGTTGTTGAATTATTGTTGCAACGAGTTTATGTTTGAGGAGGCGATGAAGTTGTTGAAGAAGATGGAGTGTAGTGCGATAGAACCTGATGTATATAGCTATAATCAACTTCTCAAGGCACATTGTAAAGCTAATCACCCGGATAAAGCTTATCTGTTTATGGTGACGAAGATGGTGCCAAAAGGTTTTTGTGATGTCGTTTCATACAATACTATTATCAAAGCATTTTGCAGTATTAGTGATAACAGAAGGGCCTATAAGCTGTTTGAGGAAATGGGACGAAAGGGGATTGCCCCAGATGTGGTAACGTTCACAATACTTATAAAAGCTTTTCTTAGAGAAGGTAATTCTGATATAGCAAAGAAGCTTCTTGATCTGATGGCAAGAATGAGCCTTTTGCCTGATCGTATATTTTATACGACAATCATTGATCACCACTGCAAGAGTGGGAAAGTTGAGATGGCCCACAGCATTTTTTGTGATATGGTAGAAAAAGGTATTACTCCTGATGTGGTTTCATATAATGCCCTTATAAATGGATTTTGTAAATCTTTGAGAGTAGGTGAAGTTATGCATCTATATGAGGAAATGCTGCAAAGAGGATCCTTTCCGGATGAAGTGACTTACAAGTTGATCATTGGAGCTCTAGTACGGGAAAATAAGCTTTCAGATGCTTGTAGGGTGTGGGATCAGATGATGGAGAAGGGCCTCACTCTTGACAGGGGTATATCTGAAATGCTGATCAATGCCATCCAGTCATGAAAAGTATCATTGAAACGAGAAACGGTTTGTGTATTTTGTAATTTCTATTTCCAGATCCTCTCCATGTGCGTGTTAAATGCATGTTCCAAAGCTAAATGTTTTTCCTTCTTGGCTAATGCTGATTATGAATGGCAAGGTTAAGTGGAGTGATTTTACTAGGGCATTGTTTGCAATGACTACAGATGACTGATGACCATTATCCCAAGAAATCCTATTAAACATGCCATTTCCATGTGCCAGAACTTTACCAAGAAGTCCTCGTTTGAATGATGTCTGGAGAGTAGAGTTTACTTTTTTGCTAGCCATTACTGATTCTTGGGCACTACATTTTCTGGTGCCAATTTCCGATGCTAAGACATTTTTGTGCCGACCAATTAGTTTGTGCCATTTACTGAATTTGAAAACAACTGCATTGTCTTGTAAGGTGGGTATGAACATGCAATTGGCCCCTAAAGGATGGAGATGAGTTATTGGTTTCAATCGTTATACAAATTCTCATTTTCATCAGGGAATGGTCTGAAATGTTTATAGATTAATGAGCAAGTGCATTGCTTACACATATAATGTTGATTCGAGTTCACTGCGTAACAATAATCTCTTACTGTTTATATACATGTGCCTTTTATGACTAAGCAACTGAACCATAGAATGCCCCTTCATCTAACTGGTATTTCTCTTCCCCTCTGCAGTCAATTGCAAGCCCAAGTTTTGGAGTATTTTGTGGTTGGAGTAAATCTTAGCATGCCTAAATTGCTACTACTTCATTGACACTTCATCAGCTTCTTTCACGAATTGCAATAATGAGACACTCAGGTTTGAGTCCCTGCCTTTTCTTGAACTTTTCTTCTTATGCATACATGCCTATAATTCTAATATTCTGCTGGTTATTTATGAAATGAAAAAAATGGTATGGAAAGGGATATGGGCATAGCAACAATATGATTCCAAGACTATCTTTTTCTTTAATTATTTCTGAGTGGCATTTCTCTATTTTGATAATTTCAAATTGGAATGTTTCAAGGAAACTGACATTTAACTGAAAATATGCAGTGCATGGTGGAGTTGGCGCTTTGAAGTCAGATGCTTCAAAACAATATGGGCCTTATCCTTGTAAGATTTGCCCCCTTTTATTGAAACATTATTATTTCTCCTCATAATGATAGAAATTATTGCGACATGTCCATGTTCCTTTTCTTCCATCTTTTCACTTTCAGCTTGAGGATGTATATTGTATATGAATAATCAGACCATTTTTCACTTTGACCCACGGTCATTGGGGGTGATATAACAGAATCACTAACCATTATGTTTTTTTAGTCCACTCTTGGTATTCTTAACAGAAAATGAAGTGCCAAGAAACAGGGATGGCATCTGTCAAAATTTATGAATTTCTATTTGCATTTTAGCTTTTCATTTTCTCCATAGTCACCCCATACATTCCAGTAAAGCAAAGCTGTAGGATCTTTATATTAAGAATGTCTTCCAATATCTCTCTCACCATCTTAACAAACTATTCATGTTTATTGAGTGTGATTAGGCTGCTTCAACAGTGTCAGACATCCAGGATCGCTAATGATGGATTTCAAGCTTTAAAATCCAGATGCAGATGTATGGCTTCTCAAATCCTAAATGTATCAAAGGTGACATCCTGGATATCCCATTCTTAGTAATATCATGTTAAATGGAAACAAAACTGAAAGCAGATATTTGAATCTAGATGACTGTTGCTAATTCTTTGCTAGTATTTCTTTGGATCCTGCAGGAGATGAGCTAATTAAAGGGAAAGGTTTCCTCATGTTGTCTGGATATCTGTTAGCTGCCCTTTTTGCCGATCTCAAAATTTTAATAAAACACGTCTTATTCTGAGGAGAGCTCAGGGCTGAAATTGTGACTCCTATTGATAGGCCTCCTAATAAGATGACATACAGATGAAGAACGATTGCTTATTAAGTGAGCCTTCTCTTACGGAACTCAGAATTTTTTTTTTTTTCAAACATGAGTTGGTAACTTATAGTAAAAAATAGAGCCCTATAGTGCACCGAGATTTATTATCCTTGGCTAGAAGAAATTGAACGCATCCAATCTTGTATGATTTAAATTTCACTGCCAGTTTTCTTCCTTAATATAGGACTAGGAGCAGCTAGTTTCTTTGGCACTAAATATTTCCATCTTCTCTACTTCGCTGGCCATTATGCTGTAGAAACAATTTATTATCGTTGCTCCAGTGGGAAAGACAAAATGCGAAAGTGGAAATTCCTCTATTGTATTTTGCTTCACTGGTGACCAAACTGTTCTGGTGTAGGAAGCAGAAGATGGTCATGCACGTTCAGAATCGCAGTTACAAGCTGCCAATTCTGAGACAATTTCTTACCTGATTTACAGATAGAAGCCAACTCCCGTCTTTATTTTTCTATCCCTATTATTTATTGTTTGACATAGGCGTGGTTTGCTACCTCCAGAAGTTTATATGCACGTATTTAGAAAGAGAAAAATAAAAAGCACTGGTCTGTACTCCATCTGTGGGAACAAGGGATAGAATCCTGAATAGAAGTGGATGTTAAAATCGGAATGGAGAGGTTGGTTCTGCCGTTTAGGTGCAGAGTCATAAGGCGGCAATTGATTTTGCATCCTTGGACCACGCAAGAGATGGACCATCTTAAGATTCAACCTTAAAGAAAGGGAACCATTCAAGATTACTCGCTTCTCATGGCTAGCTTAAGTTTGGTCTTTTGCCTCGACATGAATCCTACCTGAAGTTCTCGTTAAAGTCATCTTCTCTTTTACTTGTCCAGCAACGACTCTTCATGTTCCGCTTCTGCAATTCTTCATTTCTCAACATCTCCATGCTACCATGTTTTGGCATCCAGAAACAATCCCGCATTTTATTAAGACACTGCTACAACAGCTTGAAGGCCAAGATTCCCAGACACCACCTAGCCCTGGGGTGTCGTTTCGCCAAGATCAACAAAATCAGCTCCCACATGGCCCTCTGGCGAGTCAAACACGGACTCAAGGCCAAGGTTCCAGGTTCCAAGACGAAGGGTTCATCGGTGGTGCAACCAAAGCATGAAGCTCACTTCCACTGTACGTGGATCACACCACAACAACAAACGGACCCTCATCCCGAATCTCCGTTTCCACAGTATGATGGAAAATTCCAGAGTCCATGGGTGCTGCCACCACAGCCCCAAGGTCATTCCAGGCAGATAGTCCAAAGCATGACGGGGAACCCCATGCACCATCAATGCATCAAGATAGAGACCGTGGTCTTAGGGTGACATATCCACGGCATCAAGAACGTCATCCCCGGCAGCCCCACAGTCCAAAGAGTCCCACAAGCACAGTTTTCTGGGATGCCAAGACCTGTTCGAACCAAACCCATAACATGGTCAGGTGCAGTTTTCTGCACAATTTTTTACACCGTAATATTCATATGAGGCCCCACTGCCCTTGTAGTCTAGCTAGTATATCGTCCACGTAGTCCACGGTTTGATGTTTCTAGTGCCACCTCAGCGTCCATCGACGCAGGCTCTCTACTTGGCACCAATCTCTCTGTGCTAGCAAACCAAACCAAACCAAACCAATCCTTCAGGAAAGTGAGTGTAGACTTCAGTTACCTGATCATTGATCTATACTACGGAAGCACTCGTATTGCTAGTCAAGGTTGAGTCAAGGTTTGGAAATGTTCATATGGTTTCTACTCAGGTTCGGCTTCCCGTAATGGAAAGCAAGCAGCTTCGGAGCAGATTAGCATAAACAGAACAAAACGAAAATGGGGAGTTTGCTGTGGTATTCGTATAGGCTGTATGGTCATTGCATTATCTTGGTGACAAGTCCTCCTTGTGGTGTCCTTCGAGCTACCAACTCCAGAACAAAACGATGATAACAGAACCGATCCTTTTTACATTTTCGAACCGGCAAATATTGTTCGATTTTTCACATTGTTAAGAGCATCAGCATTGAAGTGATTGTTCCCTGGTCTTGTTTTCTACTTCTTTTTCCAGGTTCTGATTTTCATGGATTTCTGGATTTGCTATCGCTTATAGTCTTGTTCCGTTTTTGTTCTTGCCCCGTTTCACGTTCATGTCTGTGCATCAGTGGAAGTTACAAAGTGCATTACCTTTAAGTAGATAGGCTCTCACGACCCGAATCCTGGGTCCTTGACTGGTAATACAGAAGCGGTGTTGAAAAGACACCCTACCTATACTAAGTTTTAAAATAAACATATCAAAAAAATAAATTATTCAAAAATACGTAATATTTTATAATCTTTAGAAATATTATGTTATTCAAAACTGATAAACCTAAAAAATAGTCAAAACTTTTCATCAGTAATTAAAACAAAAAAATAATTCATAATACTCATTATATTGTCAAAATTCAAACTTAATTAAAACAAGGTAATAATGGCGCATCTAAGACATCAAATCAAAAGGAAATGAAAGCCTCACAAAACAAGCGAGGCATACCAACCAAAACTGAAGAAACAAGAACACTCAACAAAGTCTACCTGCCATCAGAAACTAAGAACCTGGAATAATATTAAGAATGAGGGGTGAGTTCAACCAACTTAACGAGAGAATAATATTTAATATACATTTTAGATATTTTAGATATAATAATTTACAAAATGATTTATCTTGATATACATATACATATACATATATATACTAAACATATTATCATAACGTAGTGAAATACATGTCAGAAAACATATGACACCCGAAGGTGACTAGATGACACTCAAAAGTGACCAGATGACATCTAAAGATGACCACAATGGGATAATCAGTTGCCACAGGCTGATGCCTCTCTCATTAACTAGGTATACAAAATACTATGTGTACATAAATTAACTACTCTCCATTAGCATGAAGTTACTGACAAGTCTTATATCAAGGCATAATAGATATTCGAAGAATCATTAACGAAACATATATCATATCAAATAGAATTTAGTTTGACAGATTGCGAGTGCAAATTTAAGAATAGATGAGTACTTGAAAAATAAAGCAATTTATATAAATATTCAAGAGATTAACTAATTGTACTCATCATATAATAAACATACATATTTATTTATATTATATGCATATTAAATATTATCCCACTCACCCGGAAAAATATAGAACTAAAAGGAATGTCAAATGAAAGACCTGAAAATTCTATTGAGAATCGTTAGGAGAACCTACAACAATATATGAAATATACTAAAAAACAATTCAAACAAAAGATCCCAATGCATAAAATAAAATCAGGTTTAGTCTCCTAAGTTTACGGACTAAAACGACAATTTTTCAAAGTAGGGGTTAAAATGTAATTTTACCAAAATTGGAGGACGAATCTAGAATTACATAACCATACTGAATTTTCACCCATGAACCATCCTAAATTCTGTCTAGAACGAACCAGAGACTTAATTGAAATTTTCATAAAGTTCAGGGACTAAAATGTAAATTCCTAAAATTGAGGGACCAAACTGAAAATATTCTATATCAATTATCAAACTAAGATTCATCATCCTAAATCTCAAAATTTCACTGTCCAGAATCTCAAAATACATTTAGGGGTCAAATTATAAATTTTTTAAAGTTTAGGGACTAAACTGTAATTTTCATAAATCAAGGACCAAAATAAAATTTGGCTATCTTCAACCTCCAGACCATTCTGTTCAGATTTTCCAGCAAGGTTAAAATAAATTTCTTAACCCATAAAAATTAATTTAAATCAATCAACTTATAAATCCTTATTTTCAACAGTATACTAATTAATCACCTAACATTAAACCATTAATAATCATAAATCAATTTTAACAACATAAAATTATAATCCTTATAAACCCTAATTTCTCTCTCTCTTAATCCTTTCATAAATAAATTATAATTAAAAATAATATGAGAGAAAATCACTTATTTACTACTTTTACTTTTTTTTAACTCAAAACTGAAGATTTAAAACTGAAATTCTTAATTTGATGAGAAGAGGGTCACAACGGCTACAAGAATTAAAAGAGAAAAAAATAATTTTCTTGCAACTTTTCTTTAAATATTTATATTAACTTAGATTGGGTTTAAGTTAACTTGGACTTAAATTTAGATAAAAAATTTGGGTTTTATATAAATAGAACAAGATGGAGAGCGTAATGTTGTCCTTACTGATTCATAACAAATCACTGAAAATTACAAGATATCTGCAATGGCCAAAGGCCCTGTTTCAACAATTTCAGCGACAGTAACACCAGGGTGGAAATGAAAAATACAACAGAGGAGGTACACAGCAAGGCAAATCAGCCATCGGAAAAAAAAAAAACCAAAAACGTTCACCCTAACCCTAACATCTATGGATGATCAACTTTTGATCGATCGATCAATTAATTAAAATATTTATTTTTCATTAACAACAGGGAGGGATACTTGTCTAAGCAAGTTCCAATCTTGTGACTGCTGCCCACATCACCGCACACCTATGTTAATAGCAAATCCATGATCCATGATCCCTTCTATTCACCATAGTTAGCTAGAAGCACTACAACTTAACGTGGTTCAGCCTAGCTTCATTCTTATTTTATTTTCGATCTTCTCCCTGTTTTTATTTCGGGTATAATAAAACTACATCAATTCTTTTGGGTCTATAAATACAAGACTTACTTGCAAGATCCTGTCTTGACAATGATTTGAACAGCCTAACAAAAGTTTTTATTTTTAATGTCCCTTGATAATAATAAATTCATTTGTTGTGTGTAAAATATAGAATATACTCTAATTTAATACTTAATTCTTTATGTATAAAGAAATTTGAATACAAAAAAAATAATAATTTGGACCACTCATATGGGATAAGCAATCCAAATCATTATTAAAATTAATCCAATGATTGTTGATGGTTGTATTATTTGTATATTTGATATTGTTGTATATGATATTTTTTTTTAAAGTATTTTACTTGAAATTACATTAAATTTTTTTAACATTAAAATTAAATTATTAAAAAAACATCAATTTAAATGTTTTTTCAAATCAAATGTATTTTAAAAACACACCTAAATATAATTGCATACACAACAAGAAACTGTGTTGTATTTTTTTTCTTTCATGATTATCAATGAACTCTCTTTATTTTAAAGGGGTGAATTGTTTACTATGTTTTTAGTTTTTATTACAAATTACATTCTTGAACAAGAAAACCTCTTCTGAGGTGGGGGAAATGGATCGATGCAACTGAGCCAGAGGCTCATGTTGTTATGGCTGTCTGCAGAGAGTTCCAAAACCTTGAATACAGAGAGTTTGGTTTACATGTTTGAGCCCTCCCTCTACAACTTGTTAAGTGTATTGTTTTGTCTAAAATGATAGGGTACATGTGGCTGAATTTATTGAAAGAGAAGGGGCACCTAGAAGCTGAAAAGACAGAAAACAAACAGTAGCAGAGTGTGTGAACTCTCTTTCATTGCAACCTTTTCTTCTGCAAGTTTTGTACAGGAAAATGACAGCATTTGTGTGATAAATTCAAGCATGTTCTGTGAGTATTATTAGATGTTGAAAGCAGCCAAACCAGAGCCCGTTAGAAATCAATTGAGCAATTATGAATTTATGAAAAAGATAGCTCTTATGTAACAGTAATCCTTACCACTTTAAATAATTGGACCACAAGTGGCCATAATCAATTAGCCTAACAGGGGCAAATAATACTGATATGTTTTGTACTCATTATTGATTTTTAATTATTGGTGAGGATATTTATTTTTGCATTTGCACCAACCTTACTTTATTAAAATGCCCCAGCCTCTTGTGCGACAATTTTATCTGATTTGCTATGCTTCAAAAAGCAGCTGACTCCTCTTCCATTCAGTCTATTGTAAAACTTTTTCTTTTCATCTTTATAGTGTGAATATTTCTAATCCAAAAGAACCAAAAATTAAACAATATTGAGTATCTTTTTTCAAGAAGCTTATTAACATTTAACATATTCTGATCAATTTCAGAAACAAAAAGAACATCTGAGATGGGTTTTATATCTGAATTTCCTTCAATAAAAACTGTTTCTTTTCCTTTAACAGAAATATTTTCACCATTTCCAATTCTAACTTTAGAAACACTTGATTTGTCAAGTTTCTTGAATATATTTTCATCATTTATCATGTAGTTTGTGCAACCACTATCTATAAGCCAACAATCACTTGCATGTTTGCTAGCAAAACAAGTGGCCTTAAATAATTGCTCCTCCTGTTCATATGAACTTGAGCTTTACTCTTTTGCTGGTTAGTTCCGTTTTTGCAATCTTGTCCATGTGTCCCAATTGATTAAATTTTCTACATTTAATATCAAGTCTCCACTAATAATATTTCTGTAAGTGATTTGTTTTCTTATAGTGTTGATAGGGAGGAAAGTTTCCAATTCTTTTACTGTTGCTACCGGCTCCCTTATATTTGTTGTTCTTCTTTTTGCCTTTATCTCCTTCCTGAACATGCATTTTAACTTGAAAAACTCCTTCTATGGACTCCTCTTGCCTTATTATTATTCTTTGTTCTTGTGCTTGTAAAGTATTAAACAATTGTACTAACGAATTTTTTGACAATTTTTTAGATTCTTCTAACAAAGAAATTTTTTATTCAAACCTTTCAGGTAAAGTTACAAGAATTTTTTTCATTAACTCTTTTATTAGGAAGGTCTTTTCCTAATAGTCTTATTTTATGGATTATGAAGAGTAATCTGTTAAAAAAATCTCTGATTATTTCTATTTCTTTCATCTTCTGCATCTCAAATTCCTTTCTCAAATCCAAAACTTGCATCTGGATTGTTCTCTCATTTCCATAGAATTCCTCTTGAAGATAATTCTAAATTTGCTTGGCTATATCAAGTGCAATTATTCTAAGAAATATTGCTTCTGAAACTATAGAGTAAAAACATGTTTTTAGCTTTGAATATCCTAGCTCTTTTCTCATGATGATTTCTAATTTAAGTTAGAGTAGAATCTACGGGAAGTGGTTGTGAATCATGTTCTTGTTCTATAACATTGCAAAAATCACAGACTTGTAAGCATGTTTTTATTTTTACAACTTATATTTGATAGTTTTCACCTGTAAATACTGATGGTGATGTAAGAGAATACATATTTGATGTCATTAAACAAAGATTGGAGGCTTTGGTGTTTGTGTGTTTGGTGAAAAAAAGGTTTCTTACATGTTACTCTCTTCACTCAAGTTGGTCCTGTAAGATTAATGTAAATTCTGATATCAATTTGAAGTTGTTGAACAATATAGAGATACAGAAGGACAAAGAAATAAACTAGTAATATAGAATTGTTGTTACTGTAATGCAAGCATGATTTCTTTATTGATGAAATTACTCTTTTATACTAGAGTTTTTTGATAACAAATTTCATAAAAATAATGAGAAGATTTTAACAGAAAAAGAGATAAGAGCTGTACTATAACAACTTTATTTGCAACTAACATCCTAACAAATTAGAGCTAATCTTAACTGAATGTCCTCAGCATTGAAGACCTCTTCTTCAGGAGGAAATGAGGTAACCATCAATAATTAGCCTAACAGCGGCAAATAGTACTGATATGTCTTGTACTCATTGTTGATTTTTAATCACTGGTGAGGATATTTGATCTCAAGGTAGCTCAGACATTCTAGATGCTAAGCTCTTATGGCTCTCTATGTTGTACCACCAAGATGCCTAAATGCATGGCAAATGCCTCCTTTTATAGGCCAAAATTGTTTATGGCTTCCTCTTATCTTACTTCTGGCACTACTGCTTCTATTTATGAAAAAGATGGAAGTTATGAGAAAAAGCGAGCAGCTTCTTCCTCCAAGCCCTCCTAAGCTTCCACTTTTGGGCAACTTGCACCAACTTGGATCACTGCCTCACCAATCTCTGCGGCAACTCTCCGAAAAATATGGCCCTGTTATGGTAATTCGACTTGGTCGAATACGAACTGTCGTAATCTCCTCTGCTGAGGCAGCAAGAGAGGTCTTAAAAGCTCATGATCTTGCCTTTTGTAGTAGTCCTCTTTTAGCTGGGACTGGGAGACTCACGTACAATTAACTAGACAGAATGGAGAAAAATCTTTTCTTTTTTTTTTATTCTTTATTTACATGAATATATAAGAGGATATATATAACAGATTGTAACCATGACGTAAATACCATAAATTTCCAATTATGGGTATACATTTACGGGCTTAATTAGCACCTCACACCTGTGTTAATAGCAAATCCATGATCCATGATCCCCTCTACTCACCATAGTTAGCTAGAAGCACTACTACTTAAAGTGGTTCAGTCTAGCTTCATTCTTATTTTATTTTCAATCTTCTCCCCGTTTTTATTTTTGGTATAATAAAACTACATCAATTTTTTTGAGTCTGTAAATATGAGACTTGCAAGATCCTGTCTTGACAATGATTTGAATAGCCTAACAAAAGGTTCTTTTTTTTTTTTAAAAAAAATGTCCCTTGATAATAATAAATTCATTTGTTGTGTGTAAAATATAGAACATACTCTAATTTAATACGTAATTCTTTATGTATAAAGAAATTTAAATAAAAAAAATAAAATGATTTGAACCACTCATATGGGATAAGCAATCCAAATCATTATTAAAATTAATCCAATGATTGTTGAGGGTTGTATTATTTGTATATTTGGAATTGTTGTATATGATAACTTTTTTGGAAGTATTTTACTTGAAAATACAATAAAATATTTTTTTATTTTTAACATTGAAAGTAAATTATTAAAAAAACATCAATTTAAATGTTTTTTCAAATCAAATATATTTTTAAAAACACACCTAAATATAATTGCATACACAACAAGAAACTGTGTTGTATTGTTTTTTTTCTTTTCATGATTATCAATGAACTCTCTTTATTTTAAAGGGGTGAATTTTTTACTATGTTTTTAGTTTTTATTACAAAATACAGTCTTGAACAAGAAAACCTCTTCTGAGGTGGAGGAAATGGATCGATGCAACTGAGCCAGAGGCTCATGTAGTTATGGCTGTCTGGAGAGAGTTCCAAAAACTTCAACACAAAGAGTTTGGTTGCCATGTTTGAGCCCTCTCTCCACAACATGTTAAGTGTATTGTTTTGTCTAAAATAGTAGGGCACATGTGGCTTAATTTATTGAAAGAGAAGGGTGTTATATGCGGTCTCGTACCATGTGATGATAGACAACCATATTAATTGTTATAAGCTGTCTTTTTTAATTTAAATGTAGCTGTATAGATATACTGTAAATGCAGTAGCAATTTATACTAAAGAGAGAAGATAAAAATAGGAGAAAGAAAGGAAGGTGAGATAGCTGAATTAGTTGTCTTAATTCTTCGATTCCCAGCTCGTTCACCGTTAGACTAAGTTGAGATTTTGACAGCAGTTTCTAGACACGTTACTCTTTATTATGAATAGTTGGATCGAAAATTGGTGGTGTGGAAGCTGGGATAGAAAACGAGGCTGTTAGTGTTGTGAGCTTTTCTTAAACATTTCTCTTTTTAATCTTGTTGTATTCAAAGAATAAGTTGTTTTAGATGACATATATGTTATAGCCTTTAGTTGAATCTAAAGAAGAATAATTGTGAACCTATTATTTGTTGATAGTAAAAGTTTTTAAGTGGATTATGGTTCTATAGTTTTTCCAGCATCTGGTTTTCCACGTAAAAATCTTAGTGTTGATTTGTGTGATTGTTGCTTTATATTTATTGATTGTTTGATCCTGATTTTGATTATATAAAAAGAGAAAATAATTGAAACTTATGAATTATAAATTGATTCAAGATATTAATATCCGGTTATTTATTCCTAGTTTTCTGAACAAAGAGGCAGAAGCTGAAAAGACAGAAAACAAACAGTAGGAGAGTGTGTGAACTCTCTTTCATTGCAACCCCTTTCTTGTGCAAGTTTTGTACGGGAAAATGACAGCATTTGTGTGATAAATTCAAGCATGTTCTGTGAATGTTATTAGATGTTGAAAGCAACCAAACCACAGCCCGTTAGGAATCAATTGAGCAATTATGAATTTGTACTCGGAGGTAAATGTTCTTATTAATGAAAAAGGTAGCTCCTGGATGACTAGTAACTGTAAACCTTATCACTTTAAATAACCGGACCATAAGTGGCAACAATCAATTAGCCTAACAGGGGCAAATAATACTGATATATATATGTTTGTACTCATTGTTGATTTTTAATCTCAAGGTAGCTCACACATTCTAGATGCTAAACTCTTATGGCTCTCTATGTTGTACCTTTATGGCTTCCTCTTATCTTACTTCTGGCACTACTGCTTCTATTTATGAAGAAGATGGAAGTTATGAGAAAGAGCGAGCAGCTTCTTCCTCCAAGCCCTCCTAAGCTTCCAATTTTAGGCAACTTGCACCAACTTGGATCACTGCCTCACCAATCTCTGTGGCAACTCTCCAAGAAATATGGCCCTGTCATGCTAATTCGACTTGGTCGAATACCAACTGTCGTAATCTCCTCTGCTGAGGCAGCAAGAGAGGTCTTAAAAGTTCATGATCTTGCCTTTTGCAGTAGACCTCTTTTAGATGGGACTCGGAGACTCACGTACAATTATCTAGACATAGCATTTTCACCATATAGTGATTACTGGAGAAACATGAGGAAACTTCTTACTTTGGAGCTATTCAGCTTGAAAAGGGTGCAGTCTTTCCGGTTCATCAGGGAAGAAGAAGTTAGCTTGCTGGTCAATTTTATCTCTGAGTCATCAGCGTTAGCAGCACCTGTTGATCTTACTCAGAAGTTATATGCTCTCGTTGCGAATATAACATTCAGGATGGTTAATGGATTCAATTATCGAGGGACTAGCTTTGATCGAGATAAATTTCATGAAGTGGTTCAAGACTCCATGGCTGTGTTGGGAAGCATCTCAGCAGATGAATCCATCCCGTATTTAGGGTGGATTGTGGATCGGCTTACTGGTCATCGTGCAAGGACTGAGAGAGTTTTCCATAAAGTAGATACTTTCCTTCAGCATTTAATTGATAATCATCTTAAACCTGGAAGGATAAAGGAGCACGATGACATGGTAGATGTTCTGCTGAGCATAGAGAAGGAGCAGACTGAACTTGGTGCATCTCAGTTCACAAAGGATAATATCAAGGCAATCCTCCTGGAATGCTGTTCAACATTGCTATTATCATACATTAAATCCTGAGCTTCAATAGATTACCATTTGTTATTAAGTGTATATGTAGTGCCTATCATTTCATTGCCGCTAGCATATTTCAGAATTTGCCACCAGGCTTTTAGGGAGCACCAAGCCACAGGCCTTTGGTTGTCTGAAACAGGAATCTAGTAGTCTAGTTTCACATATATATGTGAAGGGTCTAGCTGATAAGCCGTCAAAGTTAGATAGTTTTTGTTGGGTGCCCAGTGGTAAATATATAAGATGTACCCTTACGTTTTTAGTACAGGCTTTTGGGTTGGAGGTGGCGTCTATCATTATATCTAAGCCCTTGTTTGTGCATTGCCAAAGCTTTTTCAAGTGCTATTTTATCAGAAAATCTTGTTGTGTTTCTTGGCATGGTTGCTATACCATTTAGAAAACCCCCTCAGAATATAATCTCAAACTTGATATATTTGCATGATTCTTGAGATTCATCTCTCTTCAAGTGTCCGGGAATAGCAAGAGCAAAATGCTAAATGAAGCTGACTGCTGTCCAGTAACATCAGGCGCTATAATTTCTGTTATAAACTAAAGCTATAAAGAAATATCTGCTTGCCGTTATTATGAAATTAATTTCCTACTTTTCTCTATTGTTTCAACAAATTAATTTGTCTCATTGGATTCTGATGTTTGTCTGTCAGAATTTATTTCTGGCAGGAGTAGACACCATTTCACTGACAGTGAATTGGGCAATGGCAGAACTCGTTAGGAATCCAAGAGTGATGAAGACAGTGCAGGATGAAGTTAGGAAATGTGTTGGAAATAAGGGAAGAGTTACTGAAAGCGACATCGATCAACTTGAGTATCTCAGGATGGTAATAAAAGAAACTCTGAGACTGCACCCTCCTGGCCCACTACTTGTCCCAAGAGAAACCATGTCTCACTGTAAAGTCAGTGGTCATAATATCTATCCGAAGATGCTGGTCCAAATTAATGTCTGGGCAATTGGACGTGACCCCAGGTACTGGAAGGATCCTGAAGAGTTTTTCCCTGAAAGATTCCTTGATAGCTCCATTGACTATAAAGGACAAAGTTTTGAGTACTTGCCATTTGGATCTGGTCGAAGAATTTGTCCTGGGATGCATATGGGATTTATAACAATGGAGATTATACTTGCAAATCTCTTGTATTGTTTTGATTGGGTTTTTCCCGATGGGATGAAGAAGGAAGATATCAACATGGAAGAGAAAGCTGGTGTTAGTCTTACTACCTGTAAGAAGACACCTCTCATCCTTGTACCAGTCAACTACCTTCAGTGACTATCAGAAGATATCATGATCTCATAAGCATATCTACAGTTTCATGCACTTAAGAATGTATGATTGTGCTTTTCTTTCTTTTTAGCTTTTGTTACGAAGGATAGGCTCGGATCAGAACACCTCTTTCGAGGTGGGGGACATGGATGCCATTGAGCCAGAGGCTCATGGCACTTAAAAGTACGATTTGTGTACGACTGTAATATATGCGAGTAATGTGTATGTATGTGCTTGTAGTTATGGCTGTCTGCAGAGAGTTTCACAAATTTTAACACACAGTTTGGTTGAAATGTTTGAGCCCTCAGCACTTAAAAAGTACGATTTGTGTACGATTGTAATAAATGCGAGTAATGTGTATGTATGTGCTTGTAGTTATGGCTGTCTGCAGACAGTTCCAAAAATTTCAACGCAGAGTTTGGTTGAAATGTTTGAGCCCTCTCTCTTTTTCTTCCGTGTCCATCTTAAATGCCTGAGGATGAATGAGTTGGAATCAGTGTTCAATACTGTTAAAGGGTCTCGGTGCTTAATTCATGCTTCTGTCACTTCATTGTCTAAAAAATGATTAGCAAGTATCCTCCAATAAAACCAAGGTTCAAGTAATCAATTTGATAGGTCACAATCAGTCTATGTAGTGGTGGTCAAGTGGTAAGAGCTTGGAATCAAGGGATTTGCTCCCTCTGTGGTCTCAGGTTCAAGTCCTTGGTTGCTCATATGATGGCCACTGGAGGCTTACATGGTCGTTAATTTCAGGGCCCGTGGGATTAGTCGTGGTGCGCGCAAGCTGGCCCGGACACCCACGTTAATCTAAAAAATACCAGAGTGCAGATTGTATTACGCTGAGGGTTAGAATTAATCGCAAGAGTATTAATTGGAATAAGCTTAACATTGCTAACTTTGAAAGAGTTTAAAATACAATAATAAAAATAATAACTATTTCTGATTCTGAGATCATATTTCTAAGAATTAGAACACTAATAGCTGTTATTGACAGCAACTCAATCATGCATTATTAAAAATCAAATAATAACTACTTAACCTATTCTTAAGCAAGAAAGCTTTGTGGACATGACTAACAACTTAGATCAAGTCTTTGGCAACAGAACCTTCTCCCTGCATGACTCCTGCACATGAAAAATGCATTTACGATGACAGCTCTTAGTCCAAATATTTCGGGTTCTTCACGGGCACTCTTAAAGATCTTTTTGGTTTATCAATACTTCCTCCAGTGACAGAAACCTTGTCCTTAAGGTTTATATTGACGAACTTGTCGCATAATTCTTGAGCGTTCTCTCATGTAGCATCATCAACTGGAAGTCATTTCCATTGGAACAAGCTTTCTTCAATGAATCTGGATCCTCGTTTCACCCAACGTGAATCGAATATAACCTCCGGCTCTATAAGTAAGTCACCATCGTCAGCCATCAGAGGTAAGTCACTATTAGCAGTAATAGTTTCACCCAACTTTGACACATGGAAGACTGGGCGAATATAAGAGTCCAGGGGAAGCTTGAGTTTATAGGCAACATTTCCAATTTTTTGCTCAACTGGATATAGCCCATAAAATTTGCTTGCAAGCTTTTGATAGGCTATTTTGAACACAATCTGCTGTCGGTAGGGATGTAGCTTCAGAAACACCAAATCGCCGATATGAAATTCAGTGTCTCGGTGTTTGGAATCGGATTGCTGTTTCATTCAATTATTTGCTATATGTACATTGCTTTTAAGCTGCCATAACAGAGCATCTTTAGAAGCCAAGTTTTTGTCGATTTCATGTACGGGATAGTAACCTTCGTGGTAATGAGGGATTGTTAGAGGAGGCCTTCCATATAGAGCTTGGAAGGGAGTCATTCATGTAGATGCATGATAGGTAGTATTATACCAAAACTCAGCCCATGGAAGGAAGGAATGCCACTTACGGGGTTGTTGGTAAGCAAAGCACTTAAGATATTGTTCCATGCAACGGTTGATGACTTTTGTTTGTCCATCAGTTTGCGGATGGTAAGCGGAGCTTATCTTCAATTGGGTGCCTGACATTTTGAAGAATTCTTTCCAAAAAATGACTAATGAACACTAGGTCTCGATCATTGATTATGGGCTGAGGCATGCCATGAAGTTTAACGATTCCAGCAATGAATGTTTCAGCCACCAATTTGGTTGTATAAAGGTGTGAAAGGGCCAAGAAATTTGTTGATTTGCTCAACCTGTCAACAAGAATAAGAATTTAAGTTTTGGCATTGGAAGGGGGAAAATCTTCAATGAAATCCAGAGTGAAATCATCCCAAAATTGATATGGAATTAGAAGAGGCTGCAAAAGTCGTGATGGCGACAAAGTCTCATTTTTAGTGTGTTAGCATAAGTCATAATAGGCAATGTAATTCTTCATAGTGTGGAACATGGACGACCAGTAGAGTTGTTATACTAGTCTCTTATATGTCCTTAATACACCTAAAAATCCACCACTTGGGGAATCATGGAATTCATGTAAAAGTTGTGGAATAATATTGGAACGAGGAGGCATCACCACACAATTCTTGTAGTAGTTGAGAATAATTGGGAGGCTTAACCTAATAGTTAGCCAATCCTTTCTATATATATATATGTATAGGGCAATATACAATAGCAATGGTGGAGGTTACTACACAAGAGTATGTAAATAATATTTTCTATATAAGTACATTTTATAATATGTCCCTTCAAGCTAAGAGTGGAGGATCAACCCGAAGCTTGAAACAAAAGGCAGTAAAGGAAGAAGTAGGAAGTGGCCTAGTGAAGACATCAGCAAGTTGATCCCGAGAGGAAATAAAACGAATCTGAATTTCCTTTTTTACAACTCTATCTTGGACAAAATGATAATCGACCTCAACATGTTTTGTGCGAGCATGAAAGACAGGGTTCGTAAATAAATAGGTGGCACTAACATTGTCACACTAGATGATAGGAGCATAAGCATATAGAATCTGGAGATCTGTCAATAAATACTGAAGCCAGATAACCTCAGTAGTGTCATCGGCTAAGGCTCTGTACTCAGCTTCAATAAAGGAGTGAGCAACTATGCGTTGCTTATCGGATTTCCATGAAATCAGCATCTGACCAAAAAACACAAGGTAACCACCCGTAGATTTTCTATCCTCAACACTACCTGCCAATCTGCATCGGTAAAACCATGTAAGGTAAAAGAGGAAATGCAAGTAATATGCAAGCCATGGGTTATCGTACCCTGAAGATAACACAGGATGTGTTTCACAACAGCCCAATAAGAATCTGTAGGAGCATGCATAAACTGACACACTTTATTAACAGCAAAGCAAATTTCTAGGCACGTAAAAGTGAGATATTGAAGAGCACCTATTAATTTGATGAAAGCGTGTAGCACCATAAAATAATGGATCAGGCATAATGATGGCTTTGGATATAGAGATAGGAGTATCAACAAGTTTGCAAGATAACATACCAACCCGAGTGAGGATATCAAGTGTATATTTATGCTCGTGGAGTATAAGACCCATACTAGTAGACTGAACCTCAATACCCAAAAAATAATGAACAAAACCCAAGTCGTGAAGCTTAAAGTCTAAGCTTAGTAGCTAAATAAGGCGTTAGAGTAGAAGAGTGTTACTACCCGTAAGCAAAATATCATCAATGTAGACCAGAAGATAACAAATATCAGCACCAACAGAGAAGACAAACAATGAGGTATCCACCTTAGATGCACAGAAACAAATAGATAATAGGAAATCATTCAGACGAGTGTACCAAGCCCGCAGAGCCTATTTTAAACCATATAGAGATTTATGTAAGCGACACACATGAGAAGGGATAACAGAATCAACAAAACCTGGAGGCTATTTCATGTAGACCTCCTCATTAAGAACACTGTTAAGTTAAGGTATTATGGATATCAAACTGATGAATTTTCTAACCACACGAAACGGCAATGGAGAAGACTAATCTGACGGTCGCCTGTTTGATGACAGGACTAAAAGTTTCAAAGTAATCGATACCTTCTTGCTGAGTGAAACCCCTAGCAACCAAACATGCTTTATACCTTTCCATGCTACCATCAGATCAATGTTTAATCTTGCAAACCCACCAACTAACAACTACATTCATGGAGGGGTAAAACAATACTAAGGTCTAAGTTCTGTTTATGCGTAAGGCCTGAATTTCCTCATGCATAGCACTATGTCATGCCTCATTTTTGTTAACATCATTAAAAACAAGTGGCTCATGAGAAGAAGGAGAAACTACCTGGCTAAAGGAGGCAGCAAAACTTGTGGTAGTGGCAGTGGACAGCATTGTCTTGGGCTATCTTGGATAGAGGACCATGGGATGTTGATGAGCTACTGGACATGAAGAAGCGTGACCTGTAATTGGAAGGTGTTGAAGAGGATATGAAGAGAGGTCTAAACAAAGCTACAGACCAGCTAGAGACATAGTGGATGGACTGGTTGGTACTGCAAAAGATAGGGAGGCTACGGTAGAGCTGGGATGTTTTGTAGCAGACCCTGACTGCTCTACTGCAGCAAACCAGAGAACATGTGCATCTGATGATGGAGAACCTGTTCCTGCACAGTAATAATTGGAAAGACAAGCATATAATGATAGTATGGCAGTATGGGATGGGGATAAAGGGGTGGTAGAAGCTATGGTTAAAGGGATGGTCTGATAGGGCACAATAGAGGGCAGAATGGGATTATTTGAAGGAGCAGTTTGGGGAGTAGTAAGCGAAAAACATGGAGGAGGGTGAAAAGATAGAAGATAGGTAGGTGGTATGGGAGGTACCGAGGAGGATGTTACCTATTCAGACTTCTCAAAAGAAAAAACAGTTTCATGAAAACAAACATGACGGGAGACATAAAGACGATGAGAGTCTAAATCAAGACAACAATAACCAAGATAGGATGAGCTATAGCCTAAAAACACACAAGGATAAGACTGGAAATCTAATTTATGAGCATGCTATGGACACAAAAGGGGGAAACAAAGACACCCAAAAGTACATAGGAAGGTATAATCAGGAGTGCGATAAAATAAACACTCAAACGAAGATTTATTTTGGAGAACAAGAGTAGGCATGTGATTAATAAGGTATACCAATGATTTAAAAGTATAGTTCCAAAATCACAATGGTGCACTATACTAGCCTAAAAGGGTGAGGCTAGTTTCAACAATATATCGATGATGACGTTCAATAGTGTCATTTTGTTCATGAGTACGAGGACAAATTAACCGATGA